GTATTACTAATAAATGTGGCGTTTTGTCTTATTCCCCCTGAAAAGATCCTATGCAGTACTTTAAGTACAACACACAGGCCGCATAAACCTTCCCACATGCGAACTGCGAGTGCCATCAAGCACCCCCGACCTAAGGGGGGGGTGTGAAACTGGAGGGGCCTGGTGTAATTCTCACCAAGGAATGGGAGGGATGCGGGGGCATCCATGGGAACGGGGGTAGGTTCGAACTTCCCCGGGTCACTGGCTAAAGTGACCCTGCTCAGTTCGGTCTCGAAGGGGGGAGATGTGACGAACTGGGCCTGTTCTTACTGTGGTGTGTGAATGCTGACAGGGGAGTGTGGCTGGATAGTCTGCATTGGGGGATGGGAGTCTGAGTCTGCCCGAGGGCGAATACCTGGGCGTGTAACATGAGAACCCAGGAAGGGGTTGAAGGCCAGGTGACTCCTTGGCCTGGGAAACTGAACAAAGGCTGTGGGAGGGGTCGCTGAAGGCAGAGTGCTGGAAGCGAGCTGGAGAGATGGCTGGGAGGCAGAGATGGCTCTGACCCCCCCCCAAAGGGGGGTGGGCTGGGATGCCCAAGCTGGACTTAACTGAGGGGGTCCTGTTGTCTGGGCCTGCAAGACCTGTCTTGGACTGTATTCCTGTCATCCAAATAAACCTTCTGCTTTACTGGCTGGCTGAGAGTCATGGTGAATCGCAGGAAGCCGGGGGTGCAGGGCCCTGAGTCCCCCAATACTCCGTGACACATGCAAACAGAATTCAGACATAATTTTTACCATTAAAAGAATACAGCAAGTCATGCTTAAACCATGTAAAAAAAAATTAAACTTTTAACTCCTGTTATAATAGACATCAAATCTCTTTCTATTCCTCGCTAAAATTTAAGTATTAAAACCTTTATTTAAACAAAAAAAAAAGATTTAGCATTTCTCTGCAAATTACCACAGACTGGTTTTTTGCTCACAGTAGAAACAGGTTGTCCCATCTCCGGCGCACTCACATGCCTGGAGACATGCACCACATCTATCTGCGTGGGCTTGACCAGGACCAGGCTTCCTTGAGTCTGAGGCCTGAACCTTGGGCAGGTGCAGAATGTAGACAGAGTCTGCCTGCGTTCCATTTGTCATTTATGGAGCCTGGTGTCTGTCCTGATACACAGGTCCATAAAAGCCTCCAACTTGGCAGGAGCATCTACCCATGTCAGCCCATCCTTAATTCATCACACTGATTGAACTGAAACTGATGGAGGAGTGTGACATGATTGCAGATGCTGTCTGGGCGACATAGGAAGGGGCCACCCCCTTACGTAAGGCAATCTCCGCCATGTGGGCTTTAGCCGATTCGTCGCAAATGAGTGCAGGAAAGAAGCCCAGCATGTCGACACAGGGTGGTCTTGCTCTAGAAACAGAGAAGCCTATGCAAGGGCCTTCGCGGTAAGCAAGTTAAGTAGCTGCCCCACCTTGACCTGGTCCACGGCATATTCCTGGGGTTGGAGCACAAACAGGAGTCTGCATTGGGTAATAAACCTGCAGAACTTGCCGATGGTGCCGTGGTGTATCTGCGAGCGGAACTCTAGGGCTGGTTACCCAGCTGGTGTCACAAGGGGAGACGTGGTCCCTGCAGCTGCTCTGAGAGCTGCAATGTGCACCTGCAGGGAGAAGTTTCCTGTCTGCAGTTGCCATACGTGATCTCTCAGGCTCTGGGTCTCAGCTTGGAGAACAGTGATGTGTTCCTGCAGACGCACAGGTCCCTGGGGCGTCGGTGTGGCGGAAGACCCAGCAGTGTCCATACTCCGTCCAGGGGAACAGCAACAAGTCTCGGAAGAGACCGAGGGCCCATACACGGGCAGTCAAAGCTCAGAGCAGAGTCAGGGCCGTGGACAGGAATCACGCCAAGGGTCCCGGGACGAGTCAGTCAGAAGCCATGTCGGGTGTGAAAGCCGGAGTCCGTAACTGGGGTCAGGGGGAGGAACAAGGAGCCAGGAACTCGGTTGTCGGGGACCAGTCAGCGCCACGCCTGGTGCAGGTTGCTCAAGCAAGGGGTGGGACAGGAGCAAGAAGGTTTATGCCCAGTGGTGTCCAATCAGCCGTCTGCTGCTAGTCACCTGACCCCGCTGAGTCAGCAGGTGGAGCATTAGCAGCGGTTTCCCTGCCTTGCCGCGCGGTGGCGCAAAGAGTACGGCTCCTGCTTGGCACGCCCACGGGCCTGGGTTCGAGGCTGGCGGGGCCTGACAGCAGCCAGGGGGTTGGCAAGGCCAGCTGGCAGGGGGGGCTGGGGGAGTGTGGGGTTAGCAAGGCTGGCAGGCATGGGGAGCTGGATTGGTGAGTCCGGTTGAGGGTGGGGGCTGGGCGGGCGAGGGGGCGATGAGACCACCTGAGGGTGGGGGCTGGGCGGGCGAGGGGGTGGTGAGTCCGGCTGAGGGTGGGGGCTGGGCGGGCAGCAGGTGGGGGACCATGGCTGATCGCTGGAGCTGGGCAGAGCTAAGATGCTATCCTGTAGACGTGGTTCTCGCTCCTGTGCGCTAGCGGGTTCCAGTATTTGATCGTCGGCGATGTTATCCCGAGTGAGAGCGTGGTTTTGCCCCCCAATGGTAGCTCCACACTCGGGGCAGGTGCTCTGCTGCATTGGACGGCCGCATTCCCCAATCGTGTACAAATGGCCCTGAGGGCATCTGTACCAGTGGCCCCTGCCGAATTGCATGGCCTCTGTTACCATGACCCGCTCTGCCTCGGAGAGCTGCAGTCCTGCCGCAGGAAGCCACTCATCAATCTTCTCCAGCACCCTCTGGAGAGATTCCTCCCGACTCTGGGTGAAAGGGTCCTGCCGCTGGAGGACGCCTATGGCTTCATTAGCAAGGGCCAGGGCCTCGGGGGATGCTTGTTTGTTTTCGTAGCCACTCAGCCGCTCAAAGATGTTTCCCAGGTACGATATCCTCTTGATCTCATTCCTGCATTCCCTGAGCTGCTGAGCTGTGAAGGCGTGTCTGTTTCTGCCGATCCAGTGCTCCACGGCCTCAATCTTCCGTTTCAAATTGCGTTCTCTCGCCGCTGTGCACTTCTTCGCTTGTTGCTTCAGTCTGGAGAGACTTGCAAAGAAATTTAGGGAGTTCTCCAAGTCCAGAAGGCTCTGACGGGAGACCGTGTTCAGAATGCTTCTTTCCATACCCGCCCAGGCCACGAGGTCTCTGTCGCTGTTCAGCCGAAGGAGCAGTTGCTGCTTTCCAGCTTCAAGTTCTTCCCTGTTTCCCTGAATCTTCAATTTGATCTCCTTGATTTTTTGCTGGATGGCCTTGATCACGTTGTTGTAACGTGTGTTATGCTGGATGGGTGTCGCGCATTTGGGGCACACCTTCAGCTGGACGTGTTGGGCCTGAGCATTGTCTGGCTCGCCGTCCATCCAGCGATCCAGGCCCTGCACCTCCAAAATGTGTCCGCAGTCTTCTAAGACAACGAAACGGGCATCCAGCTCGTCTTCGGCCCCAAAGAAAATCTCGGCCAGCTCATCTCTGTGGCACGTGCGACACTTGGGCGGACACGGCTCTCCACAGAGGCCTGCGCAGGGGTGGCTGCATTTGAGTGATTTTTGGCAGGGCTCGCTGCAGCGGGGGCGATTGCACGTCTCGGAGCACAGCTGTGTGCACCGGTAGTGCCTGCATTTCCAGGAACAGGGCTGTATGCAGGGAAAACAGATCTCCCCGCATGGCTTATCACAGCGGCTGTGTCTGCACTGGTTGGGGCACTGTCTCTTGCACGGAGGACAGTTCTCAAAACACGATTCCTGGCACTGGTGGGAACACAGAAGGACCCTCGTGCACTTGTTACGGCAGTGGACATGCAGCCTGCCCTGCACGCATTCATAGCAGTTTCCTTTGCAGTGGTGTCCACACTCGAGTTTCTGGTTGCATGTCTCAAGGCAGATCGGAGGCATTTTCTGCTTGTAGCATTCAGTTCTCATTACGTGAGAACAGGGCAGAGTGATGTCAATCATTTCCTTGCACCTGCAGGTGCTGCAGGCTTCCCCACAGCGGCGTGTGCATGGGTGTTTGCATTCCAGAAGCTGCTTGCACGGCTCCTGGCAGAGCCAGTGATCCGCTGGCATGTGACAGGGGACGGTCTGGAGGTGCCCACACTTTGGAATGACTTTTTCCACTTCCACGGAACAAGGTTCGCAAGGTTCCTTGCACTTTCTCGGACACCTGTGGTTGAGCTCACACAGCTTGGAGCACTGGAACTGGCAAACGTACAGGCTGTGATCCCTGTCGTACGGGTGGCAGCGGCGCGTGCAGGGGTGGCCGCATTCCAGACGGATTTGGCACTGGAGCGTGCAGCCTCCGTCAGGGATTTTACTGAAGTCCGAACTCTCCTTCACCACTGTCTTGGTATCGGGGTGATTTTGACACACCAGCGTCAGGCCTTCCCCCGTAAGTTTCTTTCTCTTTAGGAGACGTAGAATATCTTTCCACAGTTGGCTGTTGGAGCCAGCTGCAATGCCAGCGAGGTTTCCAATGCAATAGAAGCCCTTCCTGGCCCGTGAGAGAGCCACACAGAGCCGATTTTTATCCTGGAGGAAACCAATCCTCCCTTCTCTGTTGCTTCGTACCAGCGAGAGAAGAACGATGTCATTCTCCTCCCCTTGAAAGTCATCCACGGCATGGACAGCCACGTCTCCCATGTCCCTGCTCCTCATCAGCGTGCGGATTTTCAGCACCTGGCCGTGGTAGGGGGTCAGAACGGTGACTTGGCTCTCGTGGTATCCCTGATCTAGGAGGTATCTGCTCAGCGAGACCAGGAAGGCAGCCTCAAACCTGTTGCTGTAGCTCTCGGAGTCAGCGCTGTTGCTCTCGGCCGCTGTGTGCTGGATGAAGAAGACACTGCTCTCCACGCCCTGCAGACAGGGAGAGTTGGCACCCTGAGCATTTTTTAAAATGAAGTGACTGCTAATATTTGCATGTTTAACCCAATCTGTAAGCTGTCCCGCCCGAGGCAAAGGAGCTGGGATCCAGTAACCCTCACTATTCCTTTAACCCCTTTTGTCCCAAAGGGCTTTACAGGTGGTACCAGTTCATTCAGCCGCAGCCGAGGGGAGGGAATGGGCTGCTGTTACTGTGGGCTGCGAATGGCGTCCTGCCTGCAGTGTCTGAGATGGTGCTAGAGCAGAAGCGTTTGGCCTCTTTTCTGAGTCCCCTGTGAAGCACCTTGCCCACTACTGGCGGCTACCGAACAGGGCACGTTTCCAGGAGCAGTGAAGAGGAATTCCATGCAAAGACTGAACTACCGCTAACCCTCAGGGTAGGCAGGAGAAACTGGTCTAAATATGGGTCACTGGGCTTTGCTGGTGTGCAGCTCATCTCCCATGGAGACGGGTTCAGATCCCACTTCCTGACGCTGCCGGTCACACCTCAGCAGTAGCATAGAATTACAGGTCCGAGGCTTGTTTAAAACCAAGGTGCAGAGGATGAGCACGAAAGAGCCTGTTACCTCTGGGAGGAAGGATAATCTAGTGCTTAGGGCACCCCATGTGTTTATTTTTCCTTCAAAGCGTGTGTGTGTGTGTGTTAGTTAACCATTAAAACTCTCCTTGGCCTCCCCAGCCAGAAGGAAGAGCCCCCCACACCAGACACCTAGGAGCACACACAGAAAAATGACTACGGCTGGCTGGAAAAGTTTTGAAATTTCTATTGTTTTGCAGAAATCCTCCCTGAATGGTTAACTGAGGACGTTTCCTTTGTTTCCCTCTAGCTTCCCAAGCAGCCAGAACTTGCTGAACGTGCAAAATCTCCTGGAACGGTGTTTGGGATATTTTTCCCCTGCATTCTCCAGCCAGCCCTACAGATGAGGATGAGAACAAACCGAAGGAAACAAGCCAGCCGTGGGCAACTCCCCATTCACCGCACCGGGGGGCTGCAGCGCTGCCTGACAGGGCTAAGTGGGGGAGAAAGAGCTGCCTTCACAAATGCCCCAGTCACAGAGTCTCCACCAGCCGGTCCCGTTGGCTTCATCTGGATCCAGAGGGAACCTAGTCTGATAAATGAACTCTGCCCTGAGGCGCGCGTGGCAGACTCCTTCGGTGAGCCAAGGCAGAAGGATGGGAGCAACCAGCCCTGTATTTGGTTTCTTGCTCTACCGTGGGCTTGTTAACAGCTTCAGTGGGATGCATCTAATACATTAGAATCCCTTTGGTAATAACCATGCCCTCGCTCCCCCCGCCCTCCCCGAACACTGTTGCCCGGGCTGGCAGGTGGCTCCGTCACGTGGCACAGGCAGACAGATTCCCAGCTACGGGAAGTGTTTCCACCTACCTTGATCTGTTCGTATTCAGCAACGGCATCGTGGTCTTTGAGCTGTTTGTAAAAGAGCGGCACCAGCAGCTGGGAAATCTCTGGGCGCATGCGGTGCTGTTTGAGACAAGAACGGGACACCCAGCTGAGAGCCACGGTTATTCTTTGGTAACTATTTAAAAACCCTCCCTTGGCCATGGATTAACCGTTTGCTCCACGTTTGTTACAGTTCCGCCTGCTTCGGGCGGGCAGCTGCCAGCCCTTTGATGAAGGGATTGGAGCCTTCCTCAAAGGCAGCTAGACTGGACGATGGGGCCGATGGGCCTGCATCTAGCAACAAAATCCTAAAGCTGTTCTCACCCCCCCCCCACCAGCAGCTGGCACGGGGTACAGCCGCCCTGCTCCGTCTGTCCACCACTTCTGTTCGCCGGCTGCCAGGTCGGGACGATCGGTGTTACCGAGCCTGTCGGTATGGTAACCGCCGTTCCCTAGACCTAGTGGTTGGTCTGAGTTACAGTATTTATTAGACAGGCCCCAGGGGGTTGCTTGGTGACTGTTGTGGCTGGATGCTCCAACCCTCGTGGAGTCTTGAAATCTGCCTGTCGCAGGGGGGTTGGGAGCGGGGTGTGGCTGTTTTCACCGAGCCAGCCCAGCAGCTCACTAGCCCCCAGGAGTGGGGGGGGCTCTAGGATCCCTAGTGCGCCATCTCAGAAGAGGTGTTGACGGATTCCCCATCCACTTTCCCATAGCACCGCGGGTGGCAGTTTGGATTCTCTGGGTTTACGAGGAGCTGAGTGAAGCAGTGGGGCCTGTTACCCCCATGATGTGCCAGGCCCTGCTGCCAAGGGGTAACTCATGCACATCCCCTCGGGAGGCGCCTGGGTATGGGCTCATCACCCTTCTAGGACCAAGCGTTACGGCCGGCAGGTGACCTGGGCAGCTGACTCAGACACCAGCGCCAGTGATGTGCAGCGGAGATGCCACTGCCCCCTGGCTAGCCCAAGGCTCGGGGCTGCAGCTGAACCGGAGCTAGATGCTGGGGGGCAGAGGAGGGCACTCGGAAGGACACTTTCCACCAGCTGCGCTGGGCTAGGAGATTCTGTCCCTCCGGGCCTGGGTTAGGGGGAGTGGAGGGGAGCCCCAGACTCCGTCATCCATTCGGGGTCTAAGCTAGGGCAAAGGGGCTCTGCCCATGTGTAACGTGGCCCATTCAGCTCCTTGAGATGTTCTCAGACGAAAGAGAACAGCCCCTGGAGACACAAGCGCCAACTCCGTGGGGGCTCCAGGGCTGGAGCACTTGGGGAGGGGGCGGAACTGGGTGGGAAGAGGCGGGGCGAGGCCTTGGGGGAAGGGGTGGGGTGGGGGTGGGAAGAGGCGGGGCGTGGGTGTGGCCGTGGGGGAAGGGAAGGGGTGGAGTGGGGGCGGGAAGAGGCGGGGCGTGGGTGTGGCCGTGGGGGAAGGGGTGGAGTGGGGGAAGGGAAGAGGCGGGGTGTGGGTGTGGCCGTGGGGGAAGGGGTGGAGTGGGGGCAGGGCGAGGCCTTGGGGGAAGGGGTCCAACCTCCCCGGCACTATGGAAAGTCGGCACCTGTGCCTGGAGCTGTACGCAGCCTGACCCAATCGCCCTGCATGCTGTGAACTGCTCCATTCATCCCCGTGGCTGTTCTCTCCCCTCCTGTCACCAGGACAGGCCTAATGGTGGAAGTGGGCATTCGACCTACCACTTAGAGCTGGGCCCAGGGTGGGCAGGGCCCAGGAAACGAGCCGAGGGGACAGAAGCCAAATGCCGGAGCCAGAGGTTTCCACTGGAGCTGGAAGCTAGAGGCAGAGCTGGGGATCGAAGCGAGAATCCGAACCCGGAGGGGGGCAGGGGCAGGAGCAGGGACTGGAACAAGAGCGAGCCCAGCTGGGGGCCAGCAATGCCTTGAGCAGCTGCTGATCTGCTGTGCGGGCCAGGCTTATAAGCAAGGCTGCTAAATCAGCAGAGACACTTGGGTGGGGGCAAGTGGGGCAATTTGCCCCGGGCCCCGCAGGGGCCCCGCAAGCCCTGGCCGAGAATCCCCTCCCTGGCTACTCACCCGGCGGTGGTCCGGGTCTTCGGCGGCACTTCGGCCGTGGGCCCTTCAGTCGCGGCGGCATTTCGGGGGCGGGTCCGTCAGTGCTGCCGAAGACGCGGAGCGAGTGAAGGACCCGCCGCCGCCGCCGCCGCAGACTCGGAGCGCCGCCCGGTGAGTACAAGCGCTGCAGCGGATGGCGCCTTTTTTTATGTCCGCTCCCCCGCTTTGCCCCAGGCCCCCTGACTCCTCTGGGTGGCCCTGTAAATCAGCAAGGGCTGTGGCCCCTCTCTCAGTTCCAAGGCAGGGCAGCCGGGCTCGTTAACTGCCTAGCAGCCAAGCTGGGGAGTCGGCCAGCGGCTGTCGGAGCTGGGCTGGCCCCTGACAATCGCACTATGCACGTGGGTTTTAGAACAATTTCAGTTGTTGGGTGGGGAGACCTTCACCTGAGGAACCACTTGACCAAATGACCCCAACTTGCGCCACTGACTCGACGCGTGGCCCTGATGACAGGGTGGTGGCACCTCTCGAGAGAGTTACACCTGGATTTCCCGTCTAGCAGGGGGACCATGTCTATACACATTCTGCCGTTTGGGGCAGAGTCTCCTTTTCAAATGTATGTTGTCGTTTGGGCACAGCTTGGTTTTTTGGTAGCAGTTTGTGGCGGGGGGACACATGGATTGAGATTTGCTATGAGTTTTTTTTTTCCAGTGTCCCACATTCCTTCAGACCCCTCTTCCAAGGAAGTTCAGCACTTTGATGGGGGTTGAAATCAGTGGGGGGGCAAACCCTTGGTTTGTGTAGACTGGATGAGTTAGTGCAGAAATTGCAGTGTATTTTCTGCCTGTTTCTCTCGTGATACCCCTAAGATACAGGTCTGACTGAGGCCTGTATCCTGGTGCCACATCAGCCACTGGGCTCCTTATACCCGTCCTTACGATAAGGGCTCTCCGTTACAGATGCCTGTCCTGAGGCGTCATTAATGAGCGTCACAGCTACTTGCTTTTCTTTGATCACACTCAGTCCCGTTGTTCAGGAAATGGGTGAAGCGCAGGCGGCCTGGTTATATTATTCTAATGCTGCTGCTGGCTGGACACTTTTGTCCTCCTTCTCTTTAATTAATGCTAGTTCCCTTGACAACGCTTCTGTGGATTTCCGAGCACTTAGGAAAACTGGCTGTTAAACAGAAAGCAAGTCACAACTATAGTGATGCTGCCCCCCCATGATTTGGGCCCCTAAGTGCCCAGTTGCTCAAAGGGGCTGAGCCCCGAGCAGCTCCCAGTGACTTCAGTTAGCGTGACCCTTGCTCAGCACTTTCAATAACCCAGACGCTTATTTCAGTGCCCACAAGCAGGCCCCGGACATGGAAAATTCTGGCCATAGTTCACGTTGCGCCCATCAGCTGCGTTGGTGAAACACATATTTTGTCAATACTGCCCGGGGAGGAGCCCAAGGCCTCCCAGTGCGTGTGGGGTCCTGGCTTGGTGTCTGTTCGGCTACTCGCTGCTATTCCCCACCCTGACACCGTCTGCCCTCCCCAGAGTTGTGCCACAGAGTGAGGATCTTGCGGAGACCGTCTGCGTTCGTAACCAGGCCAGTGCTGTCAGAGGCTCTGCAGGCAGACGGGGATGATACGTTGTCACTGTACAACCTTCCCACCAGCAACCGGAGAGGGTCACCAGCGGCTGCGAGCAGGTACCCCTGCCACAGGGAGGGGCGTGGGGAGCCATCGGTGCAGCCAGGCCCCTCCCAGAGGCATGGACAGCATCACTCACCTGATAGAGCAGCTGCACATAGGGGATCTGATTATTTATCATGCGCTCGAACAGGGAGATGCCGAGGAAATACTTCTTCTCCAAGGTGTAATCGGCGGGTTTGGGCCGCAGCTGGAAAACACGGAGCCAGGTCTGGGTGCTGCACACACAGGACACGCAGCGCTCGGCCATTGGGAAGGGGCTGGATTTTGATATCGGTGACCAGGTTGCAGAAGGGCAAAGCTACAAGGGAGCTGCGGAGCTTTAATCTCCTGCGCGCCTGGATCAGCTCGAAGGAAGCAGCAGCCGTCACACCGTTCCCCTTTCATAGCTCAGCAAACACACGAACTCCGCCCTCGGCCCCTCCCAGCCACCGATCTCCTGTAACGGGCCGACCTGCCAAGGGACGTATGTCCTACCTCACAGAGGGCTGTGCCATTTCAGCAGTGCCACGGGGAGTGTGCCTGGGAGGAGTGCCGGGGAAAGGAGTGGTCCCTGTGGGCAGCAAGGGAAGCCTGGGGTAGATGTAGCAGGACGTGCACTAGGGAGGATGGGCTTGGGAGGCTGGTTTTGTTGCATTTACCTGCTGGTGATCTCCAATCAGGATGAGGTGCTTGCAGGCCGGCGTGAGGCAGGTTAGAACGTGAGCTTCCAGGATCTCTGCTGCCTCTTCCACAATCACAGTGTGGGGCTGGATTTTCTGCAAGAGCTTTCGGTACTTGGCAGCCCCTAGGAGCAACGAACAAGCAGGGTGAGCACGTGGGGAGAGGGCAGCGTGGCACAGGTGGGAATTCCTGCTGTGGCAGGGACATGCGCTGCCCGGTGGGTGCCCTGGTGTAACGATGTGGCCTCTGGAGAGACACTACTGAGAGTATCAATTCAGGACAAATTGCTTAGAATAGGGCAGTTACAGGCCAAGGCTGGGGTTCCTTTACAAACTAAGGCAAACCAAACCAGCCAGACCGAGGGGACTTTGGTCTCACCCCACTGGCTAACCAGAAGTCACACAAGCAATTCCCTTAGACACTCCAGTTTCCCAGTATCACCACCAGCACTGCTCCTTATGGGGACAAATGGTTATGAAAACCAATACCCCAGACCCAGGTCAATATACCAGTCAGATCTTACCCACAAATCACTCTGTTGCCAATCCTTTAGAATCTAAAATCTAAAGGTTTATTCATAAAAGGAAAAAGATCTAGATGAGAGCTAGAATTGGTTACATGGAATCAATTACATACAGTAATGGCAAAGTTCTTGGTTCAGGCTTGTAGCAATGATGGAACAAACTGCAGGTTAAAATCAAGTCTCTGGAGTATGTCCAGAGAAGTTACTAGATCGCAGGGCCGGGTTCTCAGGGGGGACTTGAATCACCCCAATATCTGCTGGGAGAGCAATACAGCGGTGCACAGACAATCCAGGAAGGAAGTTTTTGGAAAGTGTAGGGGACAATTTCCTGGTGCAAGTGCTGGAGGAACCAACTAGGGGCAGAGCTCTTCTAGACTTGCTGCTCACAAACAGGGAAGAATTAGTAGGGGAAGCAAACGTGGATGAGAACCTGGGAGGCAGTGACCATGAGATGGTTGAGTTCAGGATCCTGACACAAGGAAGAAAGGAGAGCAGCAGAATACGGACCCTGGACTTCAGAAAAGCAGACTTTGACTCCCTCAGGGAACAGATGGGCAGGATCCCCTGGGAGAATAACATGAAGGGCAAAGGCGTCCAGGAGAGCTGGCTGTATTTTAAAGAATCCTTATTGCGGTTGCAGGAACAAACCATCCCGATGTGTAGAAAGAATAGTAAATATGGCAGGTGACCAGCTTGGCTAAACAGTGAAATCCTTACTGATCTTAAACACAAAGAAGAAGCTTACAAGAAGTGGAAGATTGGACAAATGACCAGGGAGGAGTATAAAAATATTGCTCAGGCGTGCAGGAGTGAAATCAGGAAGGCCAAATCACACTTGGAGTTGCAGCTAGCAAGAGATGTTAAGAGTAACAAGAAGGGTTTCTTCAGGTATGTTAGCAACAAGAAGGTGGTCAAGGAAAGTGTGGGCCCCTTCCTGAATGAGGGAGGCAACGTAGTGACCGAGGATGTGGAAAAAGCTAATGTACTCAATGATTTTTTTGCCTCTGTCTTCACGAACAAGGTCAGCCCCCAGACTGCTGCACTGGGCAGCACAGTATGGGGAGGAGATGACCAGCCCTCTGTGGAGAAAGAAGTGGTTCGGGACTATTTAGAAAAGCTGGACGTGCACAAGTCCATGGGGCCGGATGCGCTGCATCCGAGAGTGCTAAAGGAGTTGGTGGATGTGATTGCAGAGCCATTGGCCATTACAGTAACTCCTTACTTAACGTTGTAGTTCTGTTCCTGAAAAATGCGACTTTATGCAAAATGAGGTTACGTGAATCCAATTTCCCCATAAGAATGAATGTAAATTGGGGGGGGGGTTAGGTTCCAGGGAAATTTTTTTCACCAGACAAAAGACTTTTTATATATATAATATAAAAATAATGTCTTTTGTATACACACACACACACACACACACACACACACACACACACACTACTAATTAAAGTTTAAACAAACTAATTTAATACTG